AAATTTTAATTTTTTAAATTAAAATATTAAATAATAATTTTATTAATATAATATATATAAAATCAAGTTAACAATAAATGTATATTTTTATATATATTCCTAAATAGGTTAGTAGAGAGCACCTTAAATGCGTTTTCACTCCAATCTTGTTTCTATAAAAAAATTTGACCCATCTCAAATCAATCTCTATCTTATTGAATTGGGATGAATTAAAATCTATCAAATATAAATTATTTTGACATTTTTATTAATTATTATTTTTTATTATAAAATTTATCTAATTAAAAAATTAAAAAAAAATGGAGGTATCCCGTTGACACTTTCATTTACCTCATTTGTCATAAAATTAATTTAATTAAAGAAAACATAAAAAAATGGAAAAAAAAACTCATTAGGGTATCACATGAATATTTTAATTGAGTTTTCAATGTTAATATTTTAAATTAAGATATTAAATAATAACTTTATTAATTAAAAAGAAAAAGAAAAGAAAAGAGAGATAAGTGGAACCATTCTAATTGAGTTTAAAACGTTAATATCTAAAATTAAAATACAAAATAATAATTTTATTAATATAATACATCAAATTTGTATTGTTTGGTGTTCTTAGCCTTATAATTTTTTCTAACAAAATATATATAAGTATAAAATTAAATATATAATAAAATATATACTTTTATATTATGAGATGGTTTGAGGCAGAATGTCCTAAATCTACTTGTGACCCATCCCTACTTTCCTAAATAAAAAATTGGTCTGACTTGATCGATACAAATTTTTACAAAAATATCCATATTAAATCAAGAACGATTAAAATATATAGGATATTGATTGTTTTGCTATCCTTATCAATTGGCTCATTTGTTGTAAAATTTCTTTAATAAAAATAAAAATTATAAAAAAAAAAACAAAAGGGAGTGCTATGCCAACACCTTCGTTGACATTATTTATTACAAAATTTATATAATTAAAAAATAAATGAAAGAAGCAAAAAAGTAAAAAGTAAAAAAAAAGAAAAAGAAAAAATCAACCTACTAGGTTAGATCGAAATCCATTGGATATAAATTGTTTTGTGATACTTATTTATTGACTTATTTTCTTATAATATTTATCTAATTAAAAAAAGTAAAAGAAAAACTCAATTAGGATGTCACCTAAAAAACTTTATTGAATTTTTTCACAAAATTTATCTAAACTAAAAAAAAAAAGTTTAAATGTGGATAAAATAAAAATCAAAATGGGTAAATTTCATATAATGGATGGATGTGTTACATTTTAATTATGTATCAATAAAGTATGTTTATTAAATTCTATCCTAAACCCTACACTCGCATAAATCTTATTTAAAAAAAAAACTCAATTCGATCTCAAATTAAAAAAAACCTATTAGCTCTAGATAAATCAAAACCCATAGAATATAAATCTTACACATAAAAAGAAAAAAAATACATTTTTAATCAATAATATTAAATGGATCTCTCACGTACAAATTTTAAAAATATAAAATATTGATTAGATATTAAAAAGGAAAAAAATAAACAAAAAAAAAAGAAAGAAAAAAAAGAAATGCGTTGGAGTGTCACGTTCACCTCATAAAACCTTCATATATACAAGATTTAAAGTATAAATGAAAGAATGATGGAAAAAAAAATGAAGCCAAATGGAATGGCGAGGAGATTTATTAAATTAAGTAATTAAATAATAATTTTATTAATATAATATATAAATATAAAATTAAATGAATATTAAAATATATATTTATATCATGAATTTAAAAAAAGATCGAAAAAGATACAAAAAGTAAATTCTAAAGTGAAGACGAGTTCTTTGTAATATCTTTTTAAAAAATTTATCAAATAAAAAAATTTAATTAATAATATCAAATGAGCCCCATTTTAAAAAAATTTAAAATATAAAAAAATATTAAATAGTAAAAAAAGAAAAAAGAAATAAAAAGTAAATAGAAAAAAATAAAAAGGAAATAAATGACTCGATACGTGATAACTCTTTGGAATTAAGTCGATCACACAAAAAAAAATTAAAATCTTGAAAATATTTATTAAATTTTTAAAATAAGAAAATTAATAGATAAATGGAAAAGTAAAAAAAAAAAAAAGAAAACACAAATACTTGATATCCCTTTAGTATCAAGTGAGTTTCATATAAAAAGAAATTTAAAATTTTAAAAATATTTTTAAAAAATCTAAAAATATAAAAGAAAATAAAAAGAAAAAATGTAAGAAAATTGTATAAAGTGGACCCACCTTTAAAAAATTTAAAATTTTAAAAACTATTATTAAATGTAAAAAATTAGTTAAAAAAAAGAGCAACTTATAGGTAACAAACATTAACCATCCAAAAAAAAAAAGAATTATATAAAAGATCATATAAGAATGTTTTTCTTTTAAACTTTTAGGAACAATAGCTAAGGTTTATATATATGAAATAATTATGCCAAAATTTGTTGTGAAAAGACTGAAAAAAAAAGGTCATCTTCCTAAACCTCATTTTCTTTTCCATAGAATGAAAGGAAATTGTAAGAACTTTTATTGCTTCTAAGAAATTTCAGGGTTTGTTATTATTTGTAGAATCATTATAAGTATTTGTGCTAAGCTGAACTGCTAGGTATAAAACCTTAAAATCAAAGAAAAAAAAGAAAGAAAGCGATTAAGACAAATGTTGAATAAGGTTTCAATATTTGTGCTCCGATGCTCAAACCAAATATTGCTCAAGAAGGTAAGTAGGAAGAGGAATATGAAAAAGTAAAAAAAAAGCAAGATAGTGAAGATAAATAAATGATACCTGAATAATCCTATTTACACCTGAAAAGTAAAAGGTTTTGGGTAGTTTGGGCTACTCGAGATTAGCCCTAGGGTCAGGGATGACTTGGGAGACATAATTCACTTAAAAGTTGATCATTCACTTAGGGATTGATAAATTAACATTTAGAGAGATCCGTTAGATACACTAATAAGGTGGTCAAGCTAACGTGGCATTGTAGGCTTAAATTGATTTGATATATCAGATCGATCTAATAGTAAAAAATGCTCTAATTATCTACTAATAATTTTAAGTAAGAAAAATATCATTTTATCTTTTAAACTTAAAAATACTCTTAATAATAAATATTTAGACTCATCTAGACAAGTAGTAGGTTAATTCATATTTGCAAAGTGATTGTGCTAAATAAAAGGGGTTCTATCTTTAGAATGATTATAAAAATTAATTAAGTTAAATTTTAATTTTAATAAGCATTAATGTATATTTGTTCTTCAAAAAATCCTACTTAAAGCCATACTTAAAATTTTGCACTTGCTATATATATATTATTTTGTCTCCAATCAAGGTTGAGTTAGAAGGAAGCAAGGTCACGATCTCCCAAAAATTTTTATCTCCTTTTTATATAATAATAATAATCTCACTTAATTATTATTTTAATTTTTAAAAAAAATTATTGTGTGACCTTCTTTTTACCATTTTTTTTCACCACTCTCTCCCTGCGTCGTTTGTTAATCTAGAAAAAAGTCACTTGACCATAGAAAGAAATTGAAAAGTCAAAATATTAGGCTATGGGCCTTATTTGTCACATGTTAGATGGTTTATACTAGAGAAGGGCTGCTGTCTAAATATAACAAAATTTACATTTATAGGTAAAGTTTGTAAAATTTTTTTATTAAAAGTAAATAAATAAACATTTAATAAAAAATTTAAATCAATAAATTAATAAAATTTAATGCAAAAATTAATAATATATACAAAATTATTAAAAAATTATTTATTATTTATATTTACTCTGTATTTATTTAACGATAACTCTATAAATATTTTTACTAAAAATATTTATTTAAAAAATATATTTAAATATATTTAAATTTTACATATTTCATTTATACGATGAGATTTTTTAATTTTTTAATTTTAATTTATTTATTTTTAACAAAAAATTTCATGAAATGAAATTTATGTAAACTCTTTATGTAAGAAATGATGTCACTTTCACGTCTTTACAGCATAAAAAAAAAATGAGAGACTTGCTATGAGAGAAATTGGTATGAAGCTAAAGAAGATCAAAGTCAAGTTTTAAAGCACATTGCATAGGCTTAATGAAGAAGCAATTGTTGATGCTTTTCTTGTTTAAAATAAACCCCGAAAATATTAAAATATACCTTGGTTCTTTACTCCATTCTGGTTCGAATCTGGTGGCCAGATTGCATTCAAGGCTATGCCCATCATGAAGACGACGAGGTAGCCCATTGGTCGTCAATAATGAGAGGCTGTCATATAGCAATAAGGCATTAACGTGGCATCGAGATGGACAAATGAATACTTACACACGGCAATAATGAACATCAATGATATATGTGGAATTGACATGGATGACGTGGTCCATTACTGGACCAAACAGATTGTGGCAGGTTAGATTGTATTGACTAATTGGTGACATAGCAAATTAGAAGCCGCTAGCTAGGGGCAAGTCGTGTATAAGACGCTGATGGTGTGAATATGAAGTAAAGGAGACGGTTAACAATAATAATGTTCCATCTTCATTTTTTCTCCTCTCACGGACTTGTCATTAATTCGACGAAATTTCAAGGTTGCTGCCGTACCTCAATGCAACCGTGCAAGTTTTAGATTTTGCTTTTCTTATTTAGAAAAAGTCACAAGTCTACCAAACCAAAAGAAGAGAAAATTTGAGAAAAATTTAAAATTTAATTAAGTTGATTCATTCAATCAGTGATAGGTGACATAAAATAAGTTTGGGTTCAAATTACAATTTTTTTTTTCTAAAAAAAAAATAAAAATAAGAAAAGAAACGTGCATGGAAGTTGAAATGCTATAGTTTACATTGTCTTTCAACTAGATCCATATCTTTCACAAGCAAGTTGTAGTTGTAGATTCGTGGTGGATGCATGAAACGTTGAATTCTCTTAAAGCTAAGCTATTATATATATATATATATATATATATATATAACCAAAAAAAAAAAAAAGAGGGCAATTACTCGAAGTTGGAGAAAAATGGAAGTCATAATATTTGGACTAAGACGCAATTGACACATCCAGACGAGGTCTTCTCGGTCGAATTTGCCAGTATTTAATGAATTCATGACCAAGTTCAATTGCCCCAATAGTTTCCATTATTTCCAATTCTTCATCAACCCACGTAATATCATGAGGAATACTCGCTTCTTCTTCCCTCTTGTAATTGTGCTTCTGTTTCATAATTTTGTTACTTATTCTTTGTCTGTGGAATCACCCAACATCACCACAGACCAATCTTCTCTTTTTGCATTGAAATCCCATGTAACTTTTGGCCTTCAAAGCCAGTTAAAAACCAATTGGTCTACTGCTACCTCAGTTTGCAACTGGATTGGTGTAACTTGCGGATCCCGGCACCTTAGGGTCACAGCTCTGAATCTTTCAGGCATGGGTCTGGTAGGTACCATCCCACCTCACTTGGGAAATCTATCTTTCCTTTCCTTGCTCAGCATTGAGAACAATAGTTTTCATGGCTCATTACCCATCCAATTGGCTAATTTGCGTCGGTTGAAGTACATAAACTTTGGCAACAACAACATCAGTGGGGAAATCCCATCATGGTTTGATTCCCTTACTCAACTTCAAAGCTTGTTTCTATATGGTAACAACTTCACAGGCGAAATCCCATCATCTTTATGCTATTTTCCAAAGCTAGAAATCTTGAGGTTGGATAACAATAAACTACAAGGGCAGATTCCTGTCATGATTGGAAATCTTTCCTCCTTGAGGAAATTGATTTTGGATTATAACCAGCTTTCAGGTTCCATGCCTCCTTCAATCTTCAACATATCTTCATTGCAATTATTGGATCTCAGCGACAACAATCTCTCCGGGTCGATACCCCCCATTCCACTCAAAATTTTTTCGCTGCAATTCATTGACTTAACCGTTAATGCTCTCAGTGGTAAGCTCTCGTCGGATATGTTCGATAGACTTCCTAATCTTCAAGGGCTTTATTTGAATCGGAACCTGTTTTCCGGCCGAATTCCACCTAGTTTATTCAAGTGCAAAGAGTTAACAATATTGTCCTTATTTCGTAATCATTTTGAGGGAAGTTTGCCAATGGAAATTGGGAATTTGACTAAGCTTAGGATATTGCATCTCAGAGAAAACAATCTCGAAGGTAACTTAGAACACAAACTGTATATTCTTCATCCATGTTTTTCCTTCTGAAATTTATTTTCCTTTCGGTAAGAAGGAAAAAAATGAAAAAGAAAGTAAAAAGTAATTATTTAATGATTGAATTACGCAATAGCAAATGTCGTTATCTTCTACATTTACAGGTGAAATCCCATGGCAGATTGGTAATCGTCTAAATTTACAGAGGCTTATTATTAGTTGGGCTTTGTATCATTGACTATTAAGATTTTTTTTTTAATGGATAACTAGCTATTAAGATTATTAAGTCAATTGATCATATAATATATTTTTCAGGTAAAATCCCTTCAAGTATTTGGAACTTGACATCTCTTCAGTTCCTTGATTTTTCCTCTAATAGCTTGTCAGGTATGTAGTATATTACGTATCTCTCTCTATATATGTTCTTTTACCCCCAAATTTCCAATTCATAGATTGATTTTCTTATAAAAGGAAGTAAAGCCTTTAAAATTGTAAAAAAGACTAACATGAAATTCTATAAATAAAGTTATGAAATTCTATAAGTAAAGTTCTGAAAGTTTTATTGACAATAAGTAAATAAAAATTAAAATCGAAAGTTAAAAGTGAGAATGAAAAATCTCATCACATAGATCAGCAGTAAAAATATTGATAAAATTTTTATCGTTGAATAAATATCGATTAAATTTAAATTATAAACATTATTTTTAATAATTTTTTATATATTATTGATTTTCACATTGAACTCTATTAATCTATTGGTTTGGATTTTTTATTAAAATTTTTATTTTTTTATTTCTAATAAAAAAAATTTTACAAACTTCACGTATCTAATTTCATGTAAGTTTTGTCTTTAAAATTATTTATTTCACAAAATAAAATTAATGTGGGTCCATGACTAGTGGACAATTACTATAACATATGATTTTAATCATTAATGGAGAAGTTAAGAGGAAAGACAAAACAAGCTTTGCTTAATTAAAGAGTAATTGCTATTTATACTAATCTGATTGTAAAGTCTCTAATTGAATTTGATATTATGAGTCAAGTGATACTAATTCAGTTTAATTAGAGATTGAAAAAAAATATAAAATAAAAAATATATATGTATTGAAAGTAAAGCATGGATCTGCACTTTAAAACCCTTCTACTTTCTTTTGCTCTACTTCAAAAAGCTGCATTATTAGTTACTATTTTTTCTCTTTTTTTTTTTTTTATTATTGTTAAGTTAACTATAAAGGTTTTCTATTTTTTCTCTTTTTTATATTTTAAAGATAACTATAAAGGTTTTTCTTTTTTTTTATTCTTTTAATATTTATCTAAATAATAAAAAATTTTATTTTTCCATTCATATAGTGGGTGTGCAGATGGCTAATTATATTTAAAACCAATTATTGAGCTAAAGTCACAAGTCAAGTGGACACAAATACTGTTTGCTGAATTGAAAATTTTCAATATTGAAAATTTAAGTATTAAATTTTTAGTTTTGAAAATTTTAAAAATTGAATTGCTGATATAAGGATTGCTTGGTATGCTAGTGAAAATTAAATGGTGACAAGAACTTTTTATTAAATCTTTTGTAGAAGAAATGTGATTTTACAAGTATTTTAAATAGATGACAGAATAAATAATTAAAAATCAAGAATATAAGAATAATAATGTAATTAAATAACATATTTTCCCTTAAATATTGGAATTGGCTGAATATATTTAAGTAGATAAAAACTAAAAGTTTTCAACACTTTTTTTTATTGAAAATATTTGATTGAGTGGTTTCTAAAAACGAACATTTTTTTTTCTCAGCCATAATAAGTTTCATTGGTATATAGAAGAAAATTTTGCAATCCAACACATCTAGTTATGTAGAAACAAAGTTCAACAAAATCACACCTAAAAACCCCAGCTTGCAGTACAAAATCATTACAACGAGTTTTCACTACATTCAACCATAAAAAAAAATTAGAGCTCTCCAATCCCATTTTTGCCAAATATTACTCCCCTGTAAGTATGAACAAATATCCACCATTCCAATATCTTCTCGAATCTTATCTATCCCCTGAAAATCTTCCATAATTTTCAATGCTGAGATTCATAATTAGAAATCCAACTAATAGCCACCCCAGAATTAGTCTCAATAATTAAAACATTCTTTTTCACCCAACGAGATGTTGAGAACACCTCAAGAGCTATTTTTATTGCTAATATCTCAACAATATTCGCCTTTTATTCACCCAGGAATCTATAAAATAATCAATGAATATCTGCTCCAGCATCTCTTTAACACACCTCCACACCCAATGGGGCTAGATTTATGCTTCGCTAATCAAGACACTTCCTTTTATTGCTTTAACCAAAATATTGCTCTCAATTTAATAAAAAAAAATTTCCTCACCATCTCTGCCCTTACTTTCAAAGATCAATTCATTCCTTTCTAGCCATAAAACCCATAGGATGGCTTCACACACCGATAGCCATCATCTCTTCATGAGTCCACTAAATGGAGCCATCTCATATTACCTTAGCAAAGCCTCAACGTGACTAGGCATTATTCATGTCAAACCCCCACCAAGTGAAAACATGGTTTCAAACAACCCAAGAGAAGTAATAGGTAGCTAATCCTCCTCCTTTTCCTCTTGTTTACACCGATTACATAAACCTTGTCCTTCTTCCAAGACATAAAATTTTGGACTTTTGGCAATATATTACATTTCCAATAATTGAATTCTTTTTATCACTTTTTCCTTGTCTCCTGTAAAAGTGATATCAAGTTGTTTACCCATTTTCCATATTGCTTCTGCCTCCTTTTTAAGCTGTTCCTCTTCACTACCTTCACATATTACTCTATTCCGATTTTGAAAATCAGTGTCTGATACAGATCCATTTGCTATTAGATAATCTCTTTTTGACCTTCTACTTCCGGTGCCCTCTCTTTTACTTTTTTTGAAATCTTTCTCTCTTTCTTATTAATTTTGCCCATCAATCTCTCCTCTATCTCCTTATATAGTCACCATTTCTTTGCCTTAAGTTTATGATTTACATCCCTTCTCTCTGTTTCTTAATATTCTGTTTCAGCTACAAAGGATGGCAGAGGCTTTATCACCATATCGGCTAGACAAAGCTATCTTCATCAAGGCCCAAGTTCCCAAACTTCTTGCTATTTTTTTTCATCAAAGGTCCACAATTATATTCCCACTATTGGCAGCCCCTCTTTTTTCAGTACTCACCATCTTAGCATTCTCTACATTATCTCTTTTGTTCTCATTTAATATCCCCCTACTTGTGCCTAAGAATTGGGATTCACACTCTTTCTCATTGGTCCTCCTGGTCTCCCTATTTTTAGCCTCACTGTCATCAAGAGACATTTTGTTTCCCACAATAATAACCCAAGATTCAATGAAACACTAAAATCACAATTATTCACCACAATCACACACAAATTTTCAGCACAAGTTTCACACAAAAAACTATCTGCAATCAACCCAGCTCAAAGTTCAATTAACCAAAAATCAACCATCACGCATAATTAACTTTCAAATTTATAAACAACAAACAAAATAACATGTTTTTTACTTCAAATTGCATAAAAAATATTTATTTAGTAGAATAAGAAAATAACTTATACAAAAATTTACATTTTTCTCACAAAGACAAAAACCCATTTTTTTCTTGCATTTTCACTTTAACACATTCTCTTCTCTACTTCTTTATATTTATTCTATCATTTACTTTATTTAAATTATAATGGGTCTAACTATAAAACACAAAAAATGTCCAAAACTCAAAGCGTAAAGTAAATGTACTACTAGGAAAAAAAAAAGTCAAGTAACTAACCCAATATAATTAGGTTTACAATCCAACATCCCCTTAAACCCAATTACCAATTTTCATTCCCAATGTCATTTTCATCCTTTTAAACACATTAATCTTCGATGGCTTGGTAAAGATATCTACTACTTGATCTTGTGACTTGCAATGCACTAACTCAACTTCTTTCTTCTCCACATGCTCTTGAATAAAGTGATGGCGAGTTTCAATGTGTTTACTCCTTTCATGAAACAATAGATTCTTGGCCAAAGCAATAGTCGAGTGATTGTCAACAAAAATCTTGGTAGGACAATCTTGCACAAACCCCAAATAGTTCAATACATTTCTCAACATAATTGCATGACAAACGGTAGAATTTGCCGCTACACTTCGCTTCACAAGTTGATAAAGTCATAATAAGTTGCTTCTTGGATGACCAAGTGAATGCACAATCACCAACAAAGATAGCAAAACTGGAAGTGCTCTTCCTGTAATTCAAATCTCTACCCCAATCGCTATTCAAATAACCAATAAGTTTCACATCATCGTAATAAGAATAAAACAAGCTATCATTGATAGTTCTTTTGACATACCTTAGGATCCTTTTTCCCGCACTAAGGTGTGATTGATCGGGTGCTTCCATGTATCTACTAATCAAACCAACTCTATAAAGAATGCTAGGTTTAGTGCAAGTGAGATAGCGTAAACTTCCAACTAGGCTCTTGAAGTATGTAGGATCCACATTACCACCACCGGTACTTTTTCTTAACATCAAGCTACAATCAAAGGGGGTGTTTACTTCATTACAAAACTCCATCTTAAATCTTTTGAGAACCATTTTTACATATGCACTTTGAGAAAAAAAGATTCCATCATCCCTTTGCACTACCTCAATGCCAAGAAAGTGTGCCATCAAGCCAATATCCGTCATCTCGAACTCTTATTTTTCTTAATTTCATCAAACATGGTTGCGTTGTTTCTAATGAAGATCAAATCATCAACATAAAGACACACAAATAACGTATCTCCACAAGCGGTCTTTTTCACATACAAAGCATGTTTGTAAGGACATTTCTCAAACCCATTATTATGGAAATGCTTGTCAATTCTAGCATTCCATGCATGTGGTGCTTGCTTGAGCCCATAAAGAGCCTTTCTCAACTTGTAACATTGCCTTCATAACCTAGTTTCACATACTCCAAGGGTTGTTCTACATATATCTCCTTTTCAAGAAAAAATCATTCAAGAATGTGGACTTGACATCCAATTGATAAAGTTTCCAACCATTTTGGGCAACTAAGGAAATCATCAATCTAATGGTCTCTAATCGAGCAACCAGAGCAAAAACTTCACCATAATCAATACCGAGCTTTTGCTTGTACTTTTTTGCCACCAATCTCACTGTGCATCTTTGAACTTTTCCCTTTGCATTCTTCTTAGACTTATACACCAATTTCACACAATTGGCCTTTTACCTTTCGGTAAAAAAGTTAAAAACCAAGTATCATTATGCTCAATTGCCTTAATTCCCTCCATTGCTTTCTTTTGTTTCTCTTTTTGACTAGCCTTCTCAAAACAAATAGGATCACAATCCATATAAAAATAAAAAAGATTAATATCTTCATTATTTTCGATGGCATCATAAATCTCTTTAAAGCTTCTAGTTTTTCAAGACCTTTCACTAGAGTTTTCTTCGAATGATGAAAATTATGATGAAGATGATGTTGTAGGTAATGTGTGAAGAGATGTTTGTGGCTCTACACATTAGACCACTTTAGGTTCTCCTTCTTCATACTCAAGTTGAAGTTCCACAACACTAACTTCATCATGATTCCATTCCCACATGCCATTCTCTTCAAAGATCACATCTTTACTCATAAAAACTCTTTTGGAGAATGGGTTGTACAACTTTTAACCCATAGTCGGTATACCATAACCAAGAAAGATACATTTATCTTTTTTGTCATCAAGTTTTGTTCTTCTAGCTTCCGAAATTTTGGCAAAAACAATACACCCAAATACTTTGAAATGGGCTATACTTGGTTTTAAACCACTCAAAGCTTTCTTAGGAGTTTTCAAGTAAACACTTTTAGTAGGACATCGATTCAACAAGTATATAGTGCACACAACCGCTTTCACCTAAAACTTTCTTGGCTTTTTTTTTTTCCTTTCATCATACTCCTTGTCATATCTAAAATTGTTTGATTCTTCTTTTCGGCAACTCTATTGAGTTGTGGGGTGTAGGATAGGGTGACTTGGTGTATAATCTTATACTCTTTGCATAAGTGTTTAAATTGATTCGAAATGTACTCTCCACCTTGATCGAACCTTAGAATCTTTAAGTAATAACCACTTTAATTCTCCACAAAGGCTTTGAACCCTTTGAATACATCTAACAAGTCAGACTTCCTTTTCAAGAAATACACCCAAGTTTTTTGACTAAAAGCATCAATGAAAGTCATAAAATATCTATTCTTTCCACTTGACATTGGTTTCAAAGCACCACAAATGTCAGTATGCACAAGCTCCAAAGGTCTAGTTGCCTTCCACTTGCCTTCATTGCCAAAACTTAGCTTATGTTGTTTGCCAAGAATGCACCCTTCATAAATTTGATTGGGATGATTAATTTAAGGCAACCTTTTCACCATATTCTATTTGCATTACTTTTACCACGGCCTCTATAACCTTTACCTCTTCCTTTTTGAGTACCTTGAGCACCAATTTCCTTTCTATCTTCATCCAAAGTAAGCTTTGTGTGAAAGGCTTGGTCAATGGAGCTAGTCATCTTCTTGTTCAACCTTTGTTCATGCACTTGCAATGTTCCCATCAATTGATCAATAGTCATATCCTCTAAGTTCTTTGTTTCTTCAATAGTCACCGCTATATACTCAAACTTTGGAATTAAAGATTGAAGAATCTTTTCTATAATTGGAACATCACCAAGTTTCTCACCATTCCTCCTCATCTCATTCACAATAGCCAACACTCTTCCAATGTATTTCAAAATGATCTCATTCTCATTCATGGACATAGCATCAAATTCACCCCTTAACACTTGTAAGTGAACCTTCATGACCTTTTAAATCCTTCTATGTGAATTCTTGAGGATATCCATGACTTATTAGAAGTTGTCACCATAGAAATCTTCTCAAACGTTTGACTCATCAATTGCTTGGTCAAGCACAAATAAAGCCTTCTTATCTTCTTCTATACATTTTTAAGAGTAGACTTTTGAGCTTCCGTTAGTCTTTCTTTCTCCGCTTGACTGGGTTCCTCAAGCCCTTTGTGAACAATCTCCCATAAGTCTTGAGACTCTAACAACACCTTCAGTTGTATACTCCAACTATCATAATTGTTTTTACCTAACTTAGGAATTTGGGGTTACACAAAATTGTTAGCCATCATTATGCTAACTTCACTAAAACCCACTATAAATCACCATAACAATAAATAAACCCCAACTGGAAGACCTAAGTTTAGTAAACTTCACCAAGGATTTAACTTAAACAAACCACAAGCTGTGATATCACTTTTGTTGGAAGGAAGGCCCTAAGAGACATTTTCACAAACATTTGGCATGCAAACTCTATAGAACTCTTGAAACATAATAACCCAAGCTTCAATGAACCACTAAACCACAACTTTTCACCACAATCATACACAAATTTCCATCACAATTTGCACACAAAAACTATCTCTAATAAACTAAGCTCAAAGTTCAAATAACTGCATAACTATCAAGCATAGCTAACTTTTAAATTTGTAAACAACAAACAAAATAACATATTTTTTACTTCAAAATGTATCAAAGATATTCATTTAGTAGAATAAGAAAATAACTTACACAAAAGTTTGCATTTTTCTCACAAAGACAATAACCCATTTTCTTCCTTGCACTTTCACCTTTAACACGTTTTCTTCTCTACTTCTCTATACTATTTTTTTTTCAGCCCTGTATTCATTCTATCATTTACTCCATTTACATTATAATGGGCCTAACTATAAAATACAAAAAGTGTCCAACTCAATATAATTGGGTTTACAATCCAACAGTCTTTTCGTCCATGCGCGTAAGCTCCCCCCAACAGCCAGCAATATTTGGAAAATACTCTTATTCTGTGCATGGATTGGGACACCATAACAGGCAACCCAAGTACTTCTGCCACTGATAGAAAATTCCTTAGACCACACCTTAATTTTCTCAAACCAATTGTTTAGACCTGCCTAATTATTCATTTTCATGCATTCGAAAGAACCATAGTCATCAAATGTTACCAGGAACGATCAACCAGAGATTTTTCTAATAACACAGGCTTTTATCCCTTCATTACGTATATGATCACGTAACACTCACACCTCCATAAATTATCTACGACGTCTAACAACACTTATTTCCAACCAGCGTAGTTTTTTCTGGTCCACCATACCTGAGCATTGCAAAGCACCTACAAACACCTGGTTCTCATAATCGTTAAAAATCAATCCATTCTCACATGGAGAAGGAGATTCTTTCCTCTTATTCTTTTCCATCAGCGCTTGGAGATAAGATCTTCAGACACTTTCATGATTACCCACTTGGTTTTCACTTTGATTTCCCATTGCATATACTTCTTAACTAACCTTTCCGTTTACACCCTTAGCCATACTTTGAGTCTCCATTATGACAATGTTTTTTACACCATCAACTCTTCTAACTCCTGCCTTAAGCCAAAAGGAAGCTCTAGGATTAAACCTAGTGAAATTAATTCCTATCTTGTTTTTCAAGAAAAAAACACTTAAATAAAGTTTCACAGGTGTTGTGAAATTCCTTATTAAAAATGAGTAAATAAAAATTAAAATCAAAAATTAAAATTGATAAATTAAAAAATTTTATCATATATATTAAGTGTGAAAAATTTTAAAATTTTTTAATAAATCTTGATATATTTATTAAATAAATATTTTTAATAAATTTATTGATAAAATTTTTATCATTATATAAATATTAATTAAATTTAAATTATAAATAATATTTTTAATAATTTTTATATGTTATTAATTTTTATATTTAACTCTATCAATCTATTAATTTAAATTATTAACTTTATAAAAGTTTTGTACGTTTCAGAGCCAAATGTCATTGAGATTCCTCGTAGCCCTACTCGCTTCTCGAAAATATGCATGTCACACAAATCTGATTCTTTTCCCACTTCCACTCCTTTTCCTAGGGATAAATACATCAACCACCTTTCCAAAATCATTACATTCCCTTTCCAGCCATTTCCAATGAATTTTTGTGAGGGATGTTGTTCACGAAAATTGTTAGCACCTTCTTCTTATCGTGGAAACGTGATGAGTTCGCCAAAAGAAGAAAACATCTAAAAAAAATTGAATAATCAAATGCATGCATTAAAAAATTAAATTGTTAAAAAATTAGTTTTCAATGGTTTAAAGATTTTCAATAATTTATGAAACACATTCTAAAACTCTAATTACATAATTAAATAACATATAAAAATAGAGTTATATTAATAATTTGATTTTTTAATTGTATTATTTTAAATTGGTTTTTATGAAATTACAAATATAAATTATTATCATAATCAAATTTTACATCCACATATAATAAATCATTAAATAATCAAACGTACCAATCAATAAACTAAAATATAATTAAACAAATCCAAACACGTCAAGAAGCTAAACTAAAATATAACTAAACAAATCCGAACACGTCAAGAAACTATCTTTTACACGAGAAACCACTTTTTGTCCTCTTCCAATGCTTAGTGGATATGGGCAAATTCTAGTAAAAATAACTTCAATTAAGTAGGAACATATAACTGATTAAAAGAAGTGAGACATATCCCATTCAGCATATTAAAAATATTAAAAAAAATTAATTATAAAAGAAGTGAAATATGTGTCAGTCTTAACTTTGATTGCGAAATTAAAAAACTTCACTGATATGCATCAAATAATTTCTGGTTGGTTATTCAGCTATTTAACATTTTCTTTAAAATTACTGTGAATGAACAAATTAATTATGGCAGGTACACTTCCAGATCAGATTGGCAACCTACAGAATCTAGAAACCATAATCTTGGAAAATAATAGTTTTACTGGTGTCATCCCTCCTTCAATCTTTAACATCTCAACTGCAAGGTTCATTTCGCTTGCTTTCAATCGTTTCTCTGGCCAGCTGCCATCAACTACAGGCCTTGGACTTCCGAATCTGCGAGAGCTTTCTCTTGCACTAAATGAACTAAGTGGACCAATCCCGATCTCCATCTCCAATGCCACTCAGCTTATTCTACTCCAATTGCCGAATAATTCTTTTTCTGGAATCATTCCTGACACGCTTGGCAATCTAAGATATTTACAACGGCTCGACCTTAGTCATAACAATTTAAGTAGCAACCCTTCATCCCGTGAATTGAGCTTCCTCCCATCACTGATAAACTGCAAAGACTTGGAGCAGTTGACATTTGATGATAACCCATTGATCAGTGGTGAACTTCCAACTTCTGTAGGAAATTTATCTGCTTATCTAACCCTTTTCTATGGTACTCTTTGCAACATTAAGGGCAACATCCCACGTGAAATTGGTAACTTGAGCAACTTGGTTTGGTTAGGTCTTGACCATAATAATTTGACTGGACCAATACCGACTACAATTGGAAGATTGAGAGATCTGCAAAATGTTAATCTTGGGAGCAATAAGCTAGAAGGATCCATTCCATCTGAGTTATGTCATCTGGAGAGGTTGGCTTTCTTGACTCTCACAGATAACAGACTATCTGGACCAATACCAGCTTGCTTAGGCGATCTCGTTTCTTTGAGAAATCTTTTCTTAGGCTCCAACAATTTTACCTCAATTCCATCTACCTTGACAAGACTTAATGGTATCTTGTTCCTAGAATTGGATTCAAATTCTCTAAGTGGGTCTCTCCCAGTTGATATTGGAAAATGGAGGTCTGTGACTAATTTGAATTTGTCAGAGAACCAGTTCTCAGGTACTATCCCAAGCAGCATTGCTGATCTCATAGACCTAACTCATCTCTCCTTATCTGGTAATATTTTAGAGGGTTCTATTCCTCAGTCTTTTGATGAGTTGATAAGTTTGGAATACTTGGATTTGTCGAGAAATAACCTCTCGGGAATGATCCCCAAGTCCTTAGAGAAGCTCCCAAATCTAAAATATTTGAATGTCTCTTTCAATAGGCTACAAGGAGAAATTCCTAGTGGAGGATCATTTGTGAACTACTCGAGCCAATCATTTATGGGCAATGAAGCCTTATGTGGTTCATCTCGACTTCAAGTCCCACCTTGCAAAACTGATCCCTCTAGGAGGTCTAAGACGGGTACTGAGCTTTTAAAATATATTCTACCAGCAATTGGCTTAGCCATATTAATATTGGCTATGGTTATCATTCTTTTACGAAACCGAAATAGGAAAGCTGAAGTGCCAATTACTGAAGAAAATTTGCTACCATTGGCTGAATGGAGAAGAATTTCTTACCATGAGCTCGATCAAGCTACGGATGGATTTTCTGAAAGCAAATTACTAGGAGTTGGGAGTTTTGGGTCAGTATACCAAGGGACTCTCTCAAATGGGATAAGCATTGCAGTAAAAGTCTTCAATGCAAATATAGATAGAGCCCTTAGAAGCTTTGATGTTGAGTGTGAGGTCCTTCGCAACATTCGTCATCGAAATTTGGTCAAAATCATTAGTAGTTGCTCCAACATTGAATTTAAAGCCTTGGTTCTCGAGTTAATGCCGAATGGAAGCTTGGAGAAGTGGCTATATTTTCACGACCATTTTTTGGACGTTTCGCAAAGGTTGAACATAATGATAGACATCGCATTGGCATTGGAATATCTTCACCATGGTCATTCCCCACCTGTGGTTCATTGCGATTTAAAGCCGAACAATGTCCTGCTAGATAATGATATGATTGCGCATTTGGGTGATTTTGGCATTGCAAAACTCATAAGTGAAGAGGATTTAATGACACAAACTATGACGCTAGCAACTATTGGATATATGTCACCAGGTAATGGTTTAATTTTATTCTATCAATCTTGGATGATATTGCTACTCATATATATTTACATGAACGTGCATGTCTTTAATTAGATTCATGATCACCAAAATTTTAAGCAGTTTTTTATTATCATAAAATATCAATGATGAATTAAATTAAAATTTTTGTACAGAATATGGATCAGAAGGAATTGTTTCTACACAAGGTGATATATATAGTTTTGGTATTCTTCTTATGGAAACTTTCACGAGAAAGAAGCCTACAGATGAAATGTTTGTAGAAGAAACGAACTTGAAGTGTTGGGTGAAAGAGTCATTACCATCTGCAGTAGTTCATATTATAGACGCTAATTTGCTAGATACCATAGAAACAGAACGCTTAGCTGCAAAGGATTGTGTTTTATCCATTTTGCAATTAGCTTTGGAATGTTCTGCAGAATTACCTGAAAAGAGGATTGATATGAAAGAAGTTGTTGGGAGATTGAAGAAAATCAAAATCAAATTCTTACAGGAAGTTCAACGAGTTTCATCAATCAAGAGACAGAAAATGTGATTTCTGGTTTTCAAACTTATTTTAATAAAAAGAAGACAATTTGTTACCTTTTATATATATATATATATATATATATATAAATTTGACTTCATGTTCAACTTGAGCATTTACAAGTTCAACTGTTTTCTTAAGATAATGCACTACAAAAAATAGCTGTATAATTTTGACTTCAGTTGGAAGACTTTGAGCGATGTTATAAGATATTTGAGCACATAAATTTTCATGTACAATGCAACAAGCATGAAAATTCATGGAGATTGAAGATGCCCTTTTTCCTTTTTGAAAATTGCAATTTACTTTTACGAATCTTGACTTTGGTCGTAAGTGGCACTTTTTATCTTGTTTGTGTTGGAATAATGAGTATACGGAATTTGTTGGGAATATTGACTCAAATCCCATAAGAGATTTGTTTGAGATTTGTTAGAGATTTATTTGAGATTTGTCAGATATTGCTTGATGGACAAGAAGACTTGCAAAAAGAAGAATTCTAAGAGAAAGAGGATTCTTAATAGGTAAGTTTGACTTGTAAGAGAAGAATTCTAAAAGGAAAGGGGATTCTTAATAGGCAAGTTTAACTTACAGGAGAAGAATTCTAAGAGGAGAGGGATTCTTAATGGGCAAGTTTGTATGATTATAAATAGGTGAAGTCTCTATAGGGTTAGGTATGAGAAAAAGATGTAAGAGAGTTGTAGGGTTTTGTGGGATAGACACCCCATAGGAGTATTGGGGGTTCTACGTCTTATGGGTGTGTATGTTTGTTTGTGAGTGGACTAGAGGAGATTAAGAGGGTCCACATAGGTATGATGTATAGGAACATATGGGTATGTGTTTGGTTGTGTTGAAAGGGTGCACAAGAGTTTGGATTTGTGTTTGTTTGGGTTGAGAATACTTCATAGGACTAGAGGAGATTGAGAGTGTCTTATGAGTATTGATTGTTGAGTGAGGTTGATGATATGATGTATGTTTGTAATTCTCTACAACTAGTGGATCTTGTTTCTCATCCGTGGATGTAGGTCAGTTGGATCGAACCACGTTAAATTGTTGTCTCTTGTGTGTTTGATTTATTGTTTGATTTCGCTTCCGCTGGTGTGATTGGATTGGAGGCTTTTAGCCCAACAAATGGTATCAGAGCTGTGGTATTCCCCAACAGAATTGGAGATAGGAAAATATAATTACCATACAACTTGGATTTAACCTCGTGATTATTATAATTCTTTTTTAAGAGGATCTAGATTCAAAATTGGAATCTCAATTCCTAAGAAAAAAAAAAGAAGATATGATAAAATTTTAGTTGATTGAGTAATGTGGATTTAGTTTAATAGAAAACCAAAATTCCTAATAACTTCTGTGATCAAATTTTCTGATAAACTCAAAAATATAACAGTATTTAAAAGAAATAATATATTTATATATATATGTTAAATCTTAAAATGAAGAATTTGGCAAATGTAGATTCAAAAATGAGTATTCAATTAGCCTTTATGTTTCAATTAATGGAGGGTTTATTTAGTATTTCTTACAAAATAGGCCACAAGCTACGATATGGAAAGTGGTCGCATACTTGCAATTTTTGAAATTTAAATCTCATACCTATTAAATATTATTTTTTTTAAAGATAATTGTATAAATAAATTGAATTAAGTTACAACCTTAACTTCTTTGGTCAATTCAAGTGGGTTTAGCTAAGGTTGATTTTTTTGGTCAAGTTTTGCTAAAGCAATGATTTTTCTTACTTGCCATTAAAATTTATTTCATGTATATATTAATTTTATATATTGTCTATTAAAATTTTGTCATGAAAGTTCTTTTCATTTATCATTTTTTTCATTGCCCTTTCTAAAATTAAAACTAATTTTGTTTTTATGTGTAATTGTTGTTGTCGTCAGTAGAGTATCTTGAGTTTTATATAATATTGGAGGTGAGCCAGTTGGTGTAATCAACTCAAATGTTGATTGTTTGTAGTTGGCTGCTAGTTCAAACTTCGAAGTTTTCTTGCTTTTAAAAATTTATGAATTTTTTTGCAAATATTCGTTGCAATGATTTATCTTAAAACAATTTCACATCTTTATCTCAAACAAGTTGCCAACAGTTAAAAATGCATGCCTCCTGACATTCATGCTATTAATTTTGGAAGAATTACTGAGCTCTTGACCTATCTACGCCGCTTAATCTTTTTCTTTCTCTTTTTCGATTTTTTGCTTAGCTCTCAACCTATCCACATCAATTCAACCTTTTTCTTTCTCTTTTCCTTTTCCTTTTTTTACTTTTTTAAAAATTTTAGTTGTGATTGATGCATCACATTAATTTTTTTGTTTTTTATGTTAAAAATCCATCCATCCATCCATAAGATAACGAGTTGCTATGTGGTTGTTTTATGCTTTTTGGCTTTCTAAAAGTTTCCAAGAAAAATATAAAATGGTGATTGTTCCTTAATTTAACTGAGGAGAGAAGGGTCAGTGAAAAGTTTTTAATATGAGAAAAGTGGTATTTAAACGGCTAACAAATCTGCTGAATTACTCAACAACTTGCATTTATAGGTTTGAAAATGTGGTTGATAATCCATCAAAGATCATGTTTTTTTGGTTTGAAAGTATGGGTGATGATGAATAAAAAAAAAGTTAGGTTTAACAAATTATTTTAACTATGTTTGCAACATAAAAAAGAGTGGTTGAAAAAGTTAACAAAAATCACGTTTTTTACTTTCAAAACATGGCTTTAGAAAAATAAAAAACTACATTTCTGATATAAAAAACGTGATATTTGGTTCATAAAATTAAGAAGTAACTTTTTTGAGATACCTCAAGTCACAAACTTTTTTTTAATCCATGCTATTAATTTAGCTCTTAGCCTATTAATATAATTTGTTAAACTTATGAAATATCATTTTTTTTTTCTTTGAAAAAGTGGTTGATAAAGAAAAAAATTGGGTTTAACAAATTGTTTTAACTATGTTTATGGCATAAAAAAAGGTTGTTGAAAAGTTTAACAAAAACAGTTTTTTACCTTCCAAATGTAGTTTATAAAACAAAAAAACATGTTCTTAATATAAGAAATGTGCTGTTTGTTTTCATGTCACGTGGTACTTCAACTTTTTTTTAAGCTATCCTATTAATTCAACTTTTTCCCATCTTTTGTTGATTCTATTTTACCCACGTCATCGTCCATTTCTTTTCTTCTTTGTCATTCCATTTTCTCGCAACTTTTATAGAGCTCATGTGATTGTTTTTGTTTTTTTCTCTTTCATTTTCTCAGCTCTTTGATCAGATTTTTCACTTTTTTTTAAAGGTAATTCTTTTTTTAAAAGGGTTTGATCCTATGGGAAAAAATTTTTTTAGAGCTTAGGATTTAAGGATTTTTTTTCATGGTTATGGTTGGTGAGATCTTGATTTGTTCATAAATTGATTAGAGGAGTTGGTGAGAGGTTGACTTGCAGTTGGATTTGTTGTGCAATTGTCATTTTAAAAGCAAAAAAAATTATGGAATGGGAAAAGACTTATTGTTTTTTTTATTTGTTTTTGAGTGTTTTTTTTTTTTTGCTCTATTAGCAAAATTGAATAAATAAAGATTGTTTTCTTAAAAAATTTTTGGGTTTTTTGTCTTTTTGCCGTTTTGATTATTGATTTTGTGATGGGTTTTGTTGATTATTTAACATATATTTTTTTTGTTCTCAATTTATTTTGGTGTCTATTTTTTATTTGAGTTTTTGTTTATACATAAAATTTGTTTGTCACATTATGATAACTTATCAAAGTTGTTGGCTTGCACTATACTTTTCTTTGTTCATTGTGTACTTTTGTCAAATTTCTTTTAATAGAAGGCTTGTTGTCTGTTGTGTTTCATTATGTTTTATTTTTGGGAGTGTTATATGTTTTTCTTACTAAATTTACCTTTCTCTTTTCTGTCTGTTTCCTTTGTTTTGGTTGTCAATTCATCCTTTTTCTTTTGTTTGGTTTGTTTTTTCTCTGTTCTTACCTTCAATTCACGCTTAGGTAAGTTATTGTTAATTTTATAGTTAAAAACTATATTGGCTTTTTTCTGGTTGAATTTGTTGTTTTTTCTTGCTTTTTTTTTTTATTTGTTATTCCTTTTGTTGATGTTGTTGATTGTGTTTGAAGTATCATTATTATGATCTTTTTTTGGATTCTTTTTTCTTTTTTTTTATTACTTTTTTTTGTAAGTTTTCAATTGCTTATGTTACACTGTTATTATTTAAATTTTATATACTTGATTTTAGTTGTTATAGAATGATTTTGAATGTTTTGATACGTCTATTTTCATGATATAAGATATCTTTGTTCTGTTTCTTTTAAGATGCTGAATTTTTTCATTTGTTCTATTATTGATTGAAATGAAAATATCTCAAGTTTATATACCATTGTTTTGCAGAAGTTTTTTTTATATATATATATATATTGTGTTATTATTTTGCATCAATTTTTAAAATTTTTATGCATAGGTTTGAAGTGTTTTTCAAAAGTGTTATGAGGTTCTTTTCAAAAATTTATATGGTTTTGTATGTTTATTTATTTATTATGCTAGTGCTAACAGATTAAGTATGCTATATTACCTTTTCGTTTTTGATATGTTTTTCATCAGTTTATATTTTTATTTTTTGTAAGAAAATTTTTTTCTTGCTTTAGGATTGTGCTTCATCTTTTCAAGATAGTTTGTGTACTTGTTGGCAAGTTTGTTTTATTTAGTTTTTTTTTCATTGTTATTTTAAGCTTGATTAATTTGTAAATTATCACTTTTATGTTAGTTTTGTTATAGCTTTTTTTTACAATCTTTTCTTCCTCTTTTGAATGTTTGTTTTGTGTTTGAAATTGTTACTTTGATTGATTTTTTAATGTGATCTTATTAGAAATGTTCTTTTATATGTTTGTTAACAAATTAAATATACTGTGTCGCTTTTGTTTTTCAATATGTTTTCATCAGTTGTGATTATTTATTTAAGATGATTTTGTTGAATGGTTATTGTTTTCTTTATTTTTATGTTAAAC